TGTGTGTGTGTGTGTGTGTGTGTGTGTGTGTGTGTGTGTGTGTGTGTGTGTATGTGAACGCGCAAGGGCGCGGGCGCGAATGTGTGTGTAACCTATGTATGAGGGCCTTCCTATAGACGCACATAGGTCACTTCGAAATCATAGCACTTCACTCTGTGTGATGAGTAAATGGATAGAAGAAAAAGGAGAAAAGAAGGCGGAAAAAATATACATAATATTTTCTTCTTCTTCTATCCCGTAGTTGGGGCAACCGTGGGGGCACCACTGCCTCTGAAAACCAGCTCTCCCCTCCTAATTTTGTCCTCTGCTTTCCTCAGATTGTCACCCATCGTTTTTCCTATCCTCTCTGTAATATTGTCCTCCCATCTCCTTCTCTGCCTTCCTCTCTTCCTCTCTTTCTCTTTCTCTTTCCTATTACACATAATATACCAAGACAAATATTACATAACTACACTGAATCATAAATGTCCATGAATATCATTAATGGCATCTATCAAGTTATGGTTAGATTTTTAAGCAACTCCACACAAAATTCGTGAGTTAGTCCATTTCCGGAAGGGATGTTATTTGGGTGTGTGTGTGAGGGGAGTGGGGGGGGTTCGAGTATCCCCACCTATCTACCATGACACTTTATCCCAGTCAGCCAGGGATAAGTCCGGTCAAAATGGCGCCCCCTCTATGATATCTTAATTCTGTAAATGTGGGCGTGAAAGATTGACAATCAATCACAAATGGGTTATTCCACCATCTGACGGGCTGAATCTCCTGTTAAGGTTCTGTGAGTCCCTGAGTCTCACTCTGCCATCTGGCAACAGTTACATGTGAAAGCCGCCTATTTAATCATAATACATTTTATTGCGTCGTATTTTTTCTAGGTAGTTGCCCCCCTATTACTCCAAAGTTCATTGCTTTTTAGTGTCTGTGCAATTATCTGATAACTGCTTATCATAGGCGACAATTGTGTAGCAATAGAAAACGGCATTTGTTTTTGTTTTTCTTATATTTTAAATTTTGTCTTGTTTTGTTTTGTTTTTGTTGTTTTTTGTTTTTTGTTTTTTGTTTTTTGTACCGGCCAGCTTGACCTTCAAGAATAGTTACCACCCAATTCCAGAGCATAACATTAAGTCAGTTTATTACTAAGCTTATTACTATTATTATTA